TAAAATTTATTTAAAAAGAAACAAGCAGACACCAACTAGATTGTCGTCTGATACACGCGAAGATATATATTTTCAGGATCTGTCCTCTTTCTCATCGAACGTTTCTATTAATTACTTTTCTTTGGTTTTGCTCGAAAGAAAGAAATTGACGAATCTGCTTTGCAGTTAGAAAGACAAAGATTTTGCATCAAGTTTCAAAATCTTGATTATTCAAGTTAATATAAAACTTTAAATGCGATATTTCCATTTTTTTTGTATTTGAGGATAGCATTGATGGCGTTCACTGAGAATAAATAATCGAGATTTGAATAAACACTTCAATGATCACGTCATCTATTGAATCAGAGACACGCATAATGTTACGGTTTATTCAAAATTGTTTTCGTTTTTCATCAACATAGCGCTTCTATAACGCTCGACGTAATTTTCAGTGATTGTTTTATGTTGATTTCTTAAGAAAGATGGTGGATTGGTTTCCGTCTACCTTCTCCTCTGTTGAATTGCCACGACGTCTTGTAAAAGATAGTGGATTAGCACTTGGCACATTCACCACGACTGAATTGCCAAGACATTCGGACAGATAATAATAACCGCTTCCTTAGAAAAATAGTGGATTGGATTTTGGCGACTTCATTGCGACAAAATTGCCATGGCATTCGGAAAGATAGTGAATTGTTTTCCCGCTGCCTTCTCCAAGACTTAATTACCGGAATTGTTGGGAAAGATATAACATTGGAATCCCGCGCCGCCTCATCCAAGACTTTTTTTTTAAGCGTCTCACTCCAAGCAAGGCGGGAAGCCACAAGGACACAAGGGGTTGCAGAAGATTTGGAGCAAGATCAGATTCTCCTCATCCTGTTCTCTATCACTCCTATCTGATCTTGCTCCAAATTTTCTATAACCCCTTGCGTCCTAGTTGCTCCCCGCCTTGCTTGGGGTGAAACGCTTACCGAAAAAAAAAATATCAACCTCGTTTTTATTTAGGGAGTTGTTAACTATAGCTAACGCCTTCCATCCTGTCTTCACGGTTGGGTTTGCAGGTTCACGGAGTCATATGCTGACATCCGATCCCAGCAAAGTCACGCATGTCAAAGTATGGAGAGTCTCGTGCTGGATTCTGGAATTCTTATTTTTTTTTCGTCTTCTTTTGTGGCAGGAAAAGGGTTTATTTTTCTGTCTATACCCCTGAGATGAGGTATTATGATTACTTGCATTATTTGCATTACTCGGACTTTTATCCTCATCTTCATTGCCATATTCACAACGTTTCGGCCGCTGTACGCTCCGGCCTTCTTCAGGTGATTGGAATTTGAACCGAACCCTTTATTTCGTCCACCGGGGTAGATTGTTCTAGTTCCACGTGCCATATTTTTGTGATGTCGACAAACACTCGCTTTGTAATCGCAGATACAACTATATTAACGCCGTGTCAGACGGGTGTCAGACGCCTTCGAATAACACTCGCATTAATAGTACTTGTTCGATAATACTCGCTCGAATAGTAACCATCGAATAGTGATCCGAATAGAGAAATAGTATAGTAAATAGTGTAGAGAATAGCGGTCCGTATAGTAATAGAGGATAGCCTAGAAATGACGATCCGAATAGTAATAGAGGATAGACTAGAAATAGCGATCGTTAGTCATCAGCTACTTCCTACATATATGTGTTTCCTCTATGGTCACGTGGTCTATTTAATTCAGTAATGGTATCGCCTGTGTTTACTCACTGACGATCTATGTTCAAACTCTATATTGAATATGTGTTATACAGGAATAAAGTATTGGTAACGACATTTTATTCCTATATAACCTATATTTAATATAGAAATACAAAGGAGAAGCCCCTTAAGGGAATAGAAAACTAGACAATCTACCCCGCTGGACGAAATAAAGAGTCCGGTTCGAAAATCCAATCATCTGATGAAAACCGGAGCTTACAACAGCCGGAACGTTGGGGATATGGCAATGAAAATGAGGATAAGAATCGTATTATTTACATTAAATAATACGTGTTTATTTTTGTTTATAAAACTTGATTTGATTTTTTTTGTTTTAATTCATTTTTTTTTTTTAACAACTGCCGGGGACAAATAGTCCTGGTAGAAATACGCCAAAGACACCCAAAGCAAGTAGGTTATACAATTAATTACATTTCACTTCTATTCCGTATTTGTACGGCAGTCTATTCCACTGTCAAGAAGAAATATCTGTTTTTACCTCTCATCCAGCAGGCCCGACAGACTACACAACATTATTTATTTTGGAGTAAGCAATCTATGATAGAAGAAATTATTAAGTGTCACAATTCTTCTGATTCTCAATCGTGGCACCAGAAAGCGCCATTCCCACACGTCCTGACTCTCAAGTAGGCAAATGTTTTGAAAAGAAGTGGCTAGACTCTCTGGAGACGTGAGTCATTTGATGCGCCTAGTTTGAAAAGTTGGGCAACACAGCAGATGACGAACGTTGTAAAGCATTTCTGCTCTCCGTTGCAAAAGAGTTCCACTATCGTCGAATAGTTTTCGCTTTCGCTCTCTATCTTTTTCTCCTCCTTCTCCTCCTCCCTCTTCTTCTTCTTCTTCTTCTTCTTCTTCTCATATTTCTTGTCCTTGTTCTTTTTATCTCCGTCCTGTTCTTCTCATCTTTCTTCATTTTCTCATCTCCCTTTTCGCCCTTCACATCTTTTTCTTTTTCTTCTCTTCGTTCTTCTTCTTTTTCTTTCTTTTTCTCATTTTTCTTGTTCTTTTTTGTTGTTGTTGTTGTTCTTCTTCTTCTTCTTCTTCTCATCTTTCTTCTTTTATTATCTTTATTCTTCTTCTTCTTTTTCTTCTTCTTCTCCTCCTCCTCCTCCTTCTTCTTCTTCTTCTTCTTCTCATCTTCCCCCTCCTTCTTCTTCTTCTCCTCCTCCTGCCCCTCCTTCTTCTTCTTCTTCTTCTTCTGCTTCTTCTTCTCCTCCTCCTCCTCCCCTCCTTCTTCTTCTTCTTCTTCTCCTCCTCCTCCTCCCCCTCCTTCTTCGTCGTCTTCTTCTTCCTCTTCTTCTCCTCCCCTCCGTCGTCTTCTTCTTCTTCTTCGCCTCCTCCTCCTCCCCCTCCCTCTTCTTCTTCTTCTTCGCCTCCTCCTCCTCCGTCTTCTTCTTCTTCTTCTTCTTCTTCTTCTTCTTCTTCTTCTTCATTTGTTTTCCCCTTTCATTCTCATTCACTCTTTCCTTTTTTTTTTTTCGGTTTCTATTTTTGTATCTTACACACAGTGACGTCTACCCGCACTACTTCCATCTCTTTCTCTCTCTCTCTTTCTTGGCCTGCTTCGCTATACGCGCGCCTTTCTTTCTTTCACTCTCCCTCTCTCTCCTTCTCTATACACGTTCTGTCTATTTCAAACACTGGTATCCACCACTGAAAATGTCGGTAGGAGTAATAAAAATGGCGGATAAAAACTAAATACATTAATCCTTTTGAATCACACACACACGCGCGCACACGCACATACACATACACATCTACCTACATATCTATCTATCTATCTATCTATCTATCTATCTATCTATATCTATATATATATGTGTGTGTGTGTGTGTGTGTGTTTGTGCGTGTTGAACAATAAAAAAAATCGTGAAATTGAAAAATTAAAATTTTCAGACACATATATTAAAATTTTCAGACACAATATTTTTGCTTTTATTTTTTCAATTTTTTCAATTTCTCGACTAGTTTCGGCCAGCATGGATGGCCATCATCAGGAGAAAAAATTCCTGCTTCTTAGTAGCAGTGAACTGCAGGAATAGATGACTTACGGAAGAAAATTAACTTTATCTGTAGTTTTCATTTTTTTTTTTTTTTTATCGTTAATTTTTAAACCAGTCCTTCTGTTGGTCAAACGGCCGCTTTTAAGTTGATTTTTTTTGTTTTTTAAGATAGAGGCTGGATAGATTCATGCTACTCATATATATATATATATATATATATATATATATATATATATATATATATATATATATAATGAATAAATTACAGACATTATGTCTGCTAATTTTAAACAAAATCTGTTTATACTCACGAATAACGTTCTCTGTATTGATATTAAGACATAAGAGAAATGTGTTATAGCTGTTTAAATTTCTTTTATTATTATTTCCGAAGTACTTTCGATCTTTTTCCAAGATCATCTTCAGGGGTGCGAGTAATACAAAACTATATGTTGTTCATTAATATAAGTATTTATACAAAGTTGTCCGTTGTTATCCATTACCATAATTTTTTCAAAACAGTTGACAATAAGGAATAAAGAAAAGAAAGAACTAAGAACATGTAATTTTGGCAAAAACAAAATGCTCAATACACTAAGAAGAGCAAATCTATGAACGTAAAGATTCATAGTTACATATATATATATATATATATATATATATATATATATATATATATATATATATATATCGTCGACTCACCCGTCGAGTTCAACGTATGAGGTCAAGCAGATCAGTTTCTAGGAAACCAACAGCCCGACAACAGAACATGAGATTTGTTTATAGTGGTGAAGGTTTCGTGCAGGACCATCCACACTTTTTGAAGGGCCGAATACAGAGACCTGGTGCACTACGTGCCAAGGTCCCCAAACGACCCTCCGCAGGTTTTGAATTTAGAGTTGTCCTTCTCCTAGACCAGTTGCCATCCATGGCTATAGAACCCAGTCTGTCCTTCTATTTATCCATAGCTGGAGGGAGAAGAAGAGGATTCATACGTTTTCCAAGGGTATTAGCACGTAAGTGAATGTAATGGATTCGACTGGAATTTGAACTCGGCTCTTCGATTCCTCAATCCAAGCCGCTATCCATTACTCAACCGTGCGTCTCTCTCTCGGCTTCTATTCTCTCTCTAACTATATATATATATATATATATATATATATATATATATATATATATATATATATATATATATATATATATATATATATATATATATATATTTCTCTACTATATATATATATATAGATATATAT